TGAATCGCGAAAGAGACACTAGAATCACCTACCTAGTGCAAGAAGCTGGAATAATCCCCATCGATAAGTACATTATTCAAACTACCGAAAAATTTTACAATTCATAATTTAATAATAATAAACTGTGTTCAGAAATGACAAATATGAGAGCTCACAATACCCCCTACACCTAAACCATAAACTGCCATACCAAAACCTTTCTCTCTTTCACATGTAAATTTTGCCATTTTTAGATAAGTTAATGTGTTTTTCCACGCAAATTTTCCCTCTTGTATATATGTACTAAAAACCATAGTTTAAAAAAAATAATGTTAAGTATTTAAATACTTCAAATGTAAATAATTGTTTCGGCAATTACCGATAGAAGTGTAAGAAATATAAAACCGATACAAACTGATTTTGTGTGTGTCCACTGAGTATTGAATGTTCTTAATTATGACTCTGTAATTTATTTAGTCATTCAAATAATATATGGCAATGGCTGTATTTTGACTAGTTTTTTAATATATCCATCTTTGAAAGTAGAATTGATTACAACTGTCAATTCTTTAATGTTGATAATATCTGTAGTACTGGCATTATTAGGAGGCAGCCAATAGATTGGTTTCCTAGTTTATGGAATACAATGGTGCATTTATGATCAGCCTCAATGTCTTCGATTGGTGCCTATGTATTAATACTATTGTTGGTACTTCTGTCATATATAACATTTAGAGTTACCGGAGCTTACGTTTTCATCGTAAAGGTGACATGAGTCGATTTTGTTTCGTTGACTTTATTTTGCCATTATTAGAGGCCCTGTTCTAATTGATTTAATCCACTTTACAAGTTTTGTGATGCAACTTCAGGTTTACTGTCAGATCACATTAATGCAGTATCATCCGCGAATGTAGCGACAGTTATTTTATTTGTTGTCGGAAGATCTGATGTGAAGATAATATAGAGAATAGGTCAAAGTACGCTTCCCTGTGGTACCCGGGATATTCTATCCGTTAGGTATGATTTTATAATTTGGATAATTTGTCGTCATGTGGGTTAACTTCAGTAGTATATTGATGCTCTGCGATTGCACTATTTCATTTCAGTATAAATCTGCTGCTATCCTTAACACAGTCATTGTCCATCAGCTTGGTTGAAGGTCCATATGCTGAACGTCATTCATTTGACTGTCCATCTGTGATGAACGATGTCGCTATTGCTGCAAGCACCGAGAGGGCTCACAAAGGGCCTGGCTTGGCTAGGATTTGAACCTGCGCCCACTAGTTCGTAGGTAGGGCGACTTAACCATTCGGCTATTAGTCGACGACATATGGAACACTTTTTCACATGTTCCCATACCGGTGAAACCGGTGTCAGGTCCGGTGCACTTACGTAACTAGCTTCAACAGAAACAGATTTATTTTTTAGCTCTTCGACGTTCACTTCGATGTCTGAGTTGAGAGTAACTTAGAAGATAAGGAAATAAATATAAACAAAACTTACTATGATTGATAATCTCTTGAATGTCTTGATTGATTTGATTTTTATAAGTTTTGGTTATTTACAGAGGTGGTCATCGTTTTCTGGCCAAGGCCGTACAAGATGGTTTTTTTTTTTAAATTTAATTGAGGTTTACATATAATATCAGATGAATAAAAGGTGTGTTCGTGAATAAGGGGAAAAATTTGATAAAGATTCCGTTCCTAAATGTCTTGCAAAGTCGTAAACTGATCAAAGATCTTATCATTATCGTTTTGTTGTGAGTTTATATTAAAACGGCAGACAGGTGTTATTCGTCAACTTTGTGTAAAGTTCGAAGAAACGAGGAATGATTTTTGACAACATATCATATTTATTAGTTGCTTTTGGATAAACCTACAATTTNNAGAGTGAAGGTCAGAAAAATGTATGGAGAAACCTAAGTTACACTCTAGCCAAAGAACGGACATTATTTCTTTGGCTGACTGGAAGAATTCGATTAGTTACAATTTATTCTGCACGACCTTTTCATGAATAAATGTGAGGGTATGTGAGAAAAAGCTAAGTGCAGAACCGACTCAGATAAAATGCAAATTTAACAAATCAGGAACTATTTTGAAACTTCAGATGTAGTGGAAATATATCTCATGGACACGTATGCAATTATAAAGCGGCTCCGAGCACTAATGGCGGCTATCTACAAATTTAAAATGATGATAATATTAATATATTACTAAAAACTATTAATTTAAACACCTAGCAGAGCAAAAATGACACAATGTTTAATGTTTGATAAGGATCAGATACATATTTTAAATGAGATCCAAGTTATTATAAACACAGATTGACACTCGTCAACATTTCCGGAATAAAACAACATTATTTTACCAACTTAGTAGGGTAACAGATAGTCGAACGGTTAGAGTGAGCACCCTCTGTGTGTAGCCATAGGGTCGCCGTTCATCTAGAATGGACAATCACATGAGGTTCATCGTAGAGACTTCCCACTATCAATCCAATAAAATAATCCTTTTCCATCATGGACCGTTAAGCTTTTTTTGTTAAAATGAATGTAGGAAGTTCTAATTTGACAATAATATATTCATAGTAAACCCTGAAAATAAGATACACAGGGCTATCGACCGAGGTCTTTCCGCCCTCGTTCTATTATTAAATCGTTTATTTTTTCAATTACAAAAAGTAAAATGAATTTTATTTACTTTATAACGTTGCAAACCGGTCAATCGGGATCCCAAAATAAGAATTCACATTTGTTTTTGGGATGTCAACCTACACTATTGAATTATTTTGTGGAATGTTACCACATCTACCGCTCACACATTTTTTTGTAACTCCCTTGTATGCATTGGAGGCTCCCTTCATAATTTTGCCCGGGGCCTCAAAATCCAAAAGACGGTGTTAGGCAATTCGAGTAAAACATTTGTATGATTTGGATCAGGTTTCATTATAACAGTCAATAATATATTATATACTAATCATCTTCGCTCTCTAGAGATTCTTAGTACATCCCATTTAAACGGCTGCCCTAATTATCCTATGTTGCACAAAAATTACAGGATTAGTGTTTTTTAATATTTTATTTCATAAATTGCACAAAATAAAACAATTCACAAAACTATACGTATCAGGTTACAAGCGCCCAATGCGCATGGATGCATGGCTCGAGCCGCATATATGGAGGGACCGCCACTATTACGTATGCATATATATTAAAAAATTGTATACGTACTATATAATTGAAAATGATATAAATTCTGAATGAAAATTTGTATTCTTCAAACTATATTAGGTTAAATTATGTTATAAATTGTCCAAAGTAGTTTACATTCTGTTTTTGCCAAATTATAGTTGTACCTATATTTATTGCATTTAGGATGAAAGAATTTATCAACTTAAAAAAAACTAAAAAAATAAGCAAATAAAATAATGGTACTATATTTATTAGCCACTGATATGACCAACGAGCTATAACAAATAAAATGAAAATATCACCTCTTTCTATCTGCTGTTACATACGTGGCCGACACACGTATTGTATCTTGTTCTGGGAGACAATGTTTTGTTATTGAAGTTATCCATTATATGTTTTTACAACTTCCAAATATATTCACAACTACAATTGTCAATTTGAAGTGAGGATATAGCAAAAATCATATAAAGATTTTTTTTTTCTTTATAATCAACGAAGAACACAAAATATGTATTTTTTGTAACTAATACATATATAACAGTAAGATTAAAAAGAAACAAATATAAAAACATCCACAATACATTTCTGTAAATGGTAGATTAAATGAGGTCTGATCCTTATTGATAATGTCTTGGATATCTTCCAAAGTCTGCATCTGATTTTGATCAAAGATCATATCATTATCGTTTTCTTGATAATTTAAATTGAAAGTACTAAAAAAATGATGGATATTTTCCGAATTTGCAATTTGTTATTGAGAATCAATTGTACTCGATGCTAATTGATATTGCCAAATCAGTTCAATGGGTATTATACTATTAACATGTTGTTGTGAGTAGAAATTGTGAGAGAGCACTTGAGAACCATATGGAGATTGTAAAAACATCTTGATTTGTTGTATGCGTATCTGATCTGAATTGATTTTACACTTCGCTTTAGGTTTCATACCCATACAATTATTAGTGACAGAAGCTGTACGTCTTCTGGTTTTCTCATTTGGCTATGACGCATTAATAATCCAACAGGAAGGCTTCCCATGCACTTCATTTTGCATTTTCATGAAACGGTTGTGCAATGATAAATTGTGTCTTACCGATTTTTTCCAACCAGTCGAAGACTTATTGTCCATTCTTTGACAAAAATAAGGCACGTTATATATATAATCCATCCATAGATCTAAGACAAAGTCACTCGACGTTCGGGTGATGAACATATCGCCTGAGTTATTAACTCTGCGTAGCTTCGGTTTCCCCACGGATTTTTTCGGCTTCCATTCTTCTGCCTCTCGTTCTTCGACAACTGGAACACTTCGTCGTTGTTATTAGGTTGTTGCTGCATCGGCCAACTGTTGCATCTTGCTCTGGGAATATATTATTCATGGCTAAAAGCCTCCATTATATTTGAATAACTTCCAACTATATTCACAAAAAGACTTAAAAATTGCGAGTGAAAAGTTTGCAAAAACTGTTCAGCTTCTTATACTTATTTGTATCCCCTTAGCAGTCTAAGGGTGGGAGTGGATGTGGAGTGGGGTTAGTACCGAAAGATAAACTTTCGTAAACAACTTAATCACCCTTTTATTGTATTGACATGGTTATTTTACAATATACATTTTTTTATTATACACCAATAAAATATCTTTAGAACAATTTAAAAACAGAGTTGTAAAAAACAATGTATTTAAAATTAAAATGTGATTAGTATTGTGCCCCTTCACAACTTAATTCTCTAAAAGGTTTGTAACTAAATATAAAAAGGTGAACAGCTTTTGCAAATATCTCAGTCTAAATTGAAGATTGTTTGTGTGAATATCTTAAGTAGTTCAGAAATAATGGAGACTTTTTGCAATGCAGAACATATTCCCAGAGCAAGATGCAACACGTGGCCGATACAACAACCCTCTAACTATGCCGGTGTTGTCCAGAAGCCAAAGAAAGAGATGCAGAAATATGGATGCCGGAACAATCCATGGGGAAACCGAAGCTACGCCGAATTAATAACTGAGGCGATATGTTCATCACTCGAACGTCGAATGACTCTAGCTCAGATCTACGAATGGATCATCTACAATGTGCCTTATTTTAACCAAAAGACAGACAGTAAGTTTTCGGCTGGTTGGAAGAATTCGGTAAGACACAATTTATCATTGCACAATCGTTTCATGAAAATGCAGAACGAAGTGCAAGGGAAGCCTTCCTGGTGGATTATTAATCCGTCTGAACCAAATGGGAAGACCAGAAGACGTACAGCTTCTGTCACTAATAATTGTATGGGTATGAGACCGAAAGCGAAGTGTAGAATCGATTCAGATCAGATAAACATACAACAAATTAAGAAATTTTTACAATCTCCACATAGTTCTGAAGATATCTCTCACAATTTCTACACACAGCAACAACAATTTAATAGTATACCTACTAATGAGAGTTGGCATCATCAAGCAACGCCGAATACTATTGTTGCACAACACCAAATAACAAATTCGGAAAATATCCATGAGTTCTTTGGTACTTTTAATATAAACATCCAGCAAAACCCTAATTATACGATTTTTGATCGAAATCAGATTCAGACTTTAGAAGACATTGAAGAAATTATTAATACCGATCAGAATACCGTCGAACCTAATTGTTACAATAAGACTTTGTGGATGATTTAGAAAAAATATTTAGTTATAGTATTTCTTGTTTAATATATTGTTAATATTTATTTGATACTTTTAAAAGTTAATATTATGTGTCTATTAATTACAATAAAATATTAAATTTAAATATGTTTATATTTTCTTTTCTTTTAATGATAATTCCAGAAATGTATTATCATTTTTATTGTTTATCATATACAGGTGTATTATAATTAATTGATTAAAAATACTTTATTGTTTTCTTATATCAAATTATACTGATGATTCGTGCAAAAAGAAACAAGCTTCAAGCCGCGTCCTAAACTAAGCTTCGCAGCGCCAGGTTCAGAGCACTGGAAATGAAGGGATTGAGATGGTGGCCATACTATAAACGGCTGTGATCGAGCCAAGTTTTCTGTACGCCGCATGCATCTAGAAGGATCGATAATGCTGAGATGCGAATGCAGTTTCAAGGACTGTCATGGCCAAGGAGCGAAGGGAATAGACAAAATTGCAGACAAGGTGCCAGATGATGAAAGGTGTTTCGATAGTAAGCTATACGCCTAAAAAATCTTGAACACGGCCAAAGAGTCACTACCACCAGTCCAGAAATTGTGATTGTTTTCCTGTCCTTATCTTTTTATTTCATTTATATAGATTTTAAATGTGTTAAAAAAAATAATAAGAATAATTTGAATTGCAATAATAAAAAAAATCATAATTTAACATTTCCTTACAATAATAATAAAACAAAAAGTCAACTTCTACAAAGCGCTATTAACCACAGGTTTTTCTGCCCGGAAATAATAATATATTATATAAGAATATCATTCTTTTGTTTCTTGGGTATTAATGTTCATTTTATTTTCGACTAATCATTTTCTTGACATAAATAGATGTTTTCAGTTGGTTTTATATTATTAGATTTTTTTCCTAAAGAAAATGCTCAATAAATATGATTTATAACTGTTTACTATATTTGATGAGATGAATCACTTGGCACTTGATTTTTTTAGAAATAAATTTAAAATCAGTATTTTATATATTTTTTAGTTACTTTAATAATTGTAAGTAAACAAATCTTTATATTCAATAATTCAAAAGATTTATATCTAAATTAATGAAAATGTCTAAACGAAAATCTCAATCATAAAATACTTGCTATTTTTTTAAATTGCTCTATTTGTATTTATGATAAAAAAAATCATTAATTATTTAAAAAATAACGTTAATGTATTTTTCAATATATGCTTTATCCTATAATATTGCTCTCATATTATATATATTTAAAATTATTATTTTATAAATCGTTATACATGTTTTCGACATTTATCGTTTTATCACATTTTACATAAATTTGTACCCAATAATTAATTTAGATTACCAAAAAAGTCCAATCATTTATAAATAAAAAGAAAATTTCTGTTGTAATTTTTAGAATGTATTTTTATTTTAGAAACATTTTCAAACTATTGTCAATATTAATAACTAATTTATACATATAATGTCAATGTTTTAAAATTCAAATTTTATATATAGTAAAGTAAGCTAGTATAAAATAATGAATACACAAAAATATCGCTATAAAATAATATGAATTATTATTTCCCAATAATCAACGAAGAACACAAAATATGTATTTTTTTTGTAACTAATATATATATACAACAGTAACCGATATATTTTTATGCATTTTGTTCATCCACAATACCTCTCTGTAAATGGTACATTAAATGAGATCTGATCCTTATAGTCTGCATCTGATTTTGATCAAAGATCATATGGTTATCGTTTTCTTCACAATTTACATAGAAGGTACTAAAAAATTGATGGATATTTTGAATTTGTAATTTCTTGTTGAGCATCTATTGTATTCGGAGCTAATTGATAATGCCAACTCTGTTCAGTATGTGGTGTACAATTAACATTCTGGTGTGTGTGGAAATTGTGAGAGAGCTCTTGAGAACCATTTGGAGATTGTAAAAAAATCTTGATTTGTTGTATGTGTATCTG